CGTGGTATCCCATCCATTATTTACAGTGACAATGGAACTAATTTTGTCGGTGCCAATAACCATCTCACTCTTCTTAGAAAACATTTCTCAACACAGCCTCATGTGTTTCACGAGTTTCTTGCTTCTCAAAATGTCACTTGGAAATTTATTCCTCCCAGATCCCCACACTGGGGTGGATTATGGGAAACCTCAATTAAAAGTGCTAAGTCACTTTTGATTAAAATCACCGGTAACTCTGTATATACTTTTGAACAATTCTGCACTATTCTTGCTCAAGTAGAGGCCGTTCTTAACTCTCGCCCTCTATTCCCATTGTCTACTGATCCATTAGACCTACAGCCTCTTACTCCAGGACACTTCTTAATAGGTGCTCCCCTGTTATCTTATCCAGAGGTAGATGTTTCATGCACTCCAGATAATCGACTGAAGCACTGGCAGCAGTGCACTCGAGTTCAGCAACTCTTTTGGAAGCGTTGGACCTCGGATTACCTAAATCGGCTCCAAAACCGACCCAAATGGATTCACGTAACTCCTAATATTAAAGTCGGCGATTTAGTATTGGTTAAAAACCTTGACTACCCTCCCTTACAGTGGCCATTAGCTCGGGTGACCGAAGTTTATGAAGGAAAAGACCACAACGTTCGAGCAGTTCAAGTTCGCACGAAAAGTGGAACGTTTATTCGCCCTATCACTAAACTGATCCCCTTACCTCCAGATGAGACCTCAACGCATGTTCTTGATCCTTCTTCCACCTTATAGTAAAAATAAGGCTACAAGATACTAGACATTTCTCTGGGGGGCAGTATGGTTGTAAACTGATTTTGTTTACAACCCTGTAATTTTCAAAATAGTATATTTCCCCTTGTTCATTAACTTTACTCCACCCTGTAGGCCAAGACGTTCATTCATTCCAATACATTACAAATAAATTCTAACGGTACTGGATAATCTCTAACGGTACTCGGACCCTATGAACAATTACTTAGTACCCGATTTAGGCGACCGATGGTCGAAGAAATATAAAGCCACTCTCTCTGTTAGCAACCCTCGCGGGAGAAGGATGTGCTCTTAATACTTAAATTTGTGATTTTGGTAATTGCGATTCTCAGAGCGTTCTCTCTCAAGTGTTTAACAATAAGGAAAGTTGTCTCCGCGATTGTGAAACATAACAACCTTGTGTAACCTTTGTGTATATTATATATTGTACCCGTTCTATAGTGTGTTTTTGTGTTAAGTATAGTACGTAGAAAAATAAATATTAGCTACAAGTTACTTGTATTCTTTACGTACAATAGACATCAAAATAATACAGTCCACTTAAAAACCCCAGAGAATACCGGCGATATAAGTTCATAGCAGATCAAAAGCACGTGGAATCGCCACTAATTCCACCCCCAACGCCGGCACTTTCTCCACTCTCCTTGTTTGACATCAAATTTAGTTGGGTTATGTTATTGTTTATCCCAAATGTCACATGAAATCTTACTTATATTGAAGTTTTTTAACAATTGTGTCGCATTTTAGACACTTATCATTAATAATTAATTAAAACTTTCTCGTCTAAGACACATTCTGAAAAATATTATATAGCTACTGTGATAAGTGTCGGAAAAATTTAAATTTCGCGCATTCGCATTTCCGGATATGTCCGCCTCAGAGGCCACTTTTTTGGTCTCCTTTTCATAAGGATTAGATTCCCTCTTTTGTCTTATTGCTCGATGGACGTGGGTATGTATTCATGATACTAAGACAAACTATGTTTGTCTTAGTATCATGGTATGTATTGTGTGTGAGTTCGCTTTGCGATTTGAGACGTGCCATAATCAAGTATCATTTTCATTCTGTGTTGGATTTTAACCTTTTTTTGTACAAATAAGTTAAGAAATAGTTTCATTTTAACCTTATAAAAGTATTTTGATGCTAGATTAAACTTTCCTAAATATTTGTTGATCGTACATACTTACCCTTATCAAATTTTAATTGGCGAAGTGTATACTATTTTTGCGAGACAATAATACACACTTTCCGTGTTTCCCCAATTACCATTATTACCTTATTAAGTATTTTAGTACCTACATAAACATCTTGTTTGTTCCAGAAATTAATGGTTCTTATAGCATTTAATTAAAATGGGAAGAACATACATGAAAAAAACTAATAGGGCCAAAACATATTCTAAAAAGGATTTAAAACTGGCAATAGAAGAAGTTAATAGTGGGAGCAGGGCATCTGAGAGAGATGAGCGGAACCCGGTAAGAAGGCTCTTGACAAAAAGTAAAGAGCAAAATAAATTTGTTTAATTTTTATAGAAATAAAATTATTAATAATAAATAATAACTATCATTTTAAATATAAAATTTATTAAATTTTAGATGATGAAGTAGAAATCAAGTTTAGGTACAAGAAAGGTGAGGTCGTTCGATATGTCCGCTTCCAATTGCTTTATTTTGGCAGATCCAGAGGAAAAAGGTTTTGTGGAAATTAAGTGAGATCGTAGTGCTTCTTCCAGAGACAGTGGTGACCAAAAGAGGATTACACCTATTCGGCGTCACTTTTACTAATTAAGAGCATCAGTCGTAAAAGGGTTTAAGTGCAGTGTTGATAGTTCTGAGATAATCAGCGTCAAAGTTGTTTGAGTTTTATAAATTCTAGGAATGATTTAACTAAAATATGTCTATTGTACAATGTTCTATAAAATGATAAAAATATAAGGTTATGTTATTACTTTTACTACATCTTTTCTTTTTTCAATTATTGAAAAAATGTACTTGAATCGGACATGGTGTTTATAAATGTTACTGGTAAAACGTTCAAGTGCAGATGTTAGGTATTACTAATCATTTTTTAGGCATTCAACTAAACTTTATTTTGTAAATTTTTAAGTACAATATCATTCGTAATCCGACTCTTTCGAGAAAATATCTTCTTCGCCATCATTCCCCTCGGCGTCGTCTCTGTTGGCAGCTGATTTTGCTGATTCCAATTTTGCATCTGCCGTTGATGTTCCAGTATGTTTCAAATTTCGGTAAAAGGAGTGGTGACATAAGGGAATGTAGTCCAAGAGGCTTAGCAGATTTTTATATTTGGCATCCTTAATTGGTAGCGTCGTGTAATTAATAGGGTTTAATTTGGAGAGCTAAAAGATGGACGTCCACTTTGTGTTTTTCTCATAGTACACATCGAAAACTCAATATCCTGGTTTAAAGTATGCTTGTACCTGAAAGCCAGCTTTTCTGTCTTAAAATATGCCAACCAGGAAATACTGCGCCATTGTATTCTCTGACCAATGGAATCCTTTTTAGGATCTTTCATTATTTATGTAGTATCGAAAACGAGTAAAACTGTCGTCATGTTGTAAACCACAAACTTTGAGGATGTATTTTTTATAACACGTTCCCAATCTGCTGAAACAAAAACTTAAGGAATTTGTCGATTTTTCTTTTCAATTAAACCAAAACTGCGGTCACACTCCATATAGGTGTGACCAGGTTCCAGAAACTTGTGATGGATCTCGGTGATATGAGTAGCTTGAACGATGAAGGAGAACAGTTTGCAGATGTTTTTATTTTTATTCTGCCCTCCACAAGAGTCACTATAGCAACTATCTTTGTTACCTTGGGGGTAGACACCTGATAAATTTTATCAGACATGAGCCTACATGAGCCATTTCCTAGGAACCTTTGTCTGTTGCAAATCGAAACAAATAACAGTATTCTCAATATTTTTGTGTTTTTCAATATCTAATTTTTTAGAATCGTTTGCTTTCTTAGCTTTTCTCTGATGTAATTCTAAATCCCGTTTAGCGTTTGAAATGGTTTCCTCATTTTCAGAATATTTTATCAAGTTTTGAAAATTGCCACAGCGACTACATGTATCACTATAAGGCTTGTGAAATTTCAAATTGAACTCTGGTAAGATAATCATAAATGATTTTCACAGGTTCTTCCTGTAGTTCATAACAAAATTCATTTAATGCATGAAAATAATCTTGTGTTTTACATGTGCTATTACAGAATACTAAAAATAGTTTGGTGCTAAAACGGTTCAAGCGCACATAAACCTGTTTACTACCAATGCAAACTGCAATTGTTTTCATTAAATAAAATGTAATGGCGATAGATGGCGACTGTAGGGTGAAATATGCTTAAATCATTTTACCACCAAGTTATAATACCATTTATCTATGCGAATCTGTACTTAGACCATATTTTTTAAAAAGTGCACTTAAACCCTTTTACTTCTAACCCTCTCAATTATAATATTTATTAGGCTGATAAAAAAAGTTTGTAACTTCGAGAGTTTTACGATTATTTAAAATATTTAAATAGCTAACGGAAGAATGAACATTCTACTTTTACAAACTTACCCAGTTTATATTTCTATTGATATAGGGATAAAAAATAAATTATAGATACAGTACACCCATTTGAAGGGGAAAGTGTGTACTAGGGACACAGTTTAAAAATAACTAAAATATGGTAACGTGATTGCCGTGAAAAGTTATAAAATGAAGTAGTTGCAGATAATACACATTAAAATCCTGTATTAAAATATTAGCTTCAAATATTACTTGGTCGCAAAATGTAGTAGGTATGTGAATATATAAACTTTTAATATTTTGCTACACGCTTACCACATTTGCTTTACTTTTAGTAAAATATTCTTTAAAATGTATCGATATCGAAATGGGATCCGAGCGGGAACATTATTTTCATTTGTTTTTCGTTGAAGATTTTTTTTAGTGAAAGCGTATTAAGAGCATAACGATAATGTATATAGACCGTTTTCAGTCTCGTAATGGAAATTATAAAGAGTTGAAAAATGTAAAGTTACTCACTTATGTTCACTAATTAACGGAAGAAAGTTTCCGATTTTGATAGCAAGTCCCCGAATTCCCCTCGTAGGTATTACTAAATGAGCTATTTGGAAAATACAGAATGACGAGCAATGACCTTCAGATAATAAATTCTTAAAGTTGCAGAACTGCTTCAATATAATACTGTTACTACAAATAAACACAAAAAGAAATAAATACCCAGAAATCACGAATCGGCTTGGGTTCTCCAACTTGTTTTAACCGATAGTGAAGATACGAGATGAGTGTCAAAACTAAAATCAAGAAAGGTTAGGGTTATCGAGACTACGAGACTTCTAAGTTTTTACAGCGCAGTGATAGTTTGTTGTGGTGATGTGATAGCCAATAATTATGGTAAGTTTAAAATATTTGTGTTTTGTAATACTCAGAATATTTTAATACTTGTTCTATTTTACATCTTAGTAACGTTGGTCTATTCTTAAAAAAAACTGAGGAATAGGTATTTACAATTATTTTACTGTATTCTTTTGAATCTATGACTAAATTTTGTTTTATTTTATTTTATTGTTACTATGACCGAATTTTAACTTTGACAAAATTTTAACATAGGAATTATTTTTTAAGGTAAATCGATCATTCGTTGATAGTCTCGTTTTTTAATAGATGACCTGAGAGAAAAAAATAAGTTGTTATAAGGATTTAATGTTAAGATAAAAAACAATTTTTAGTGCCTTTAAATAAACGCATTGAGACCTAATACAACCGATGTATTATAATTTCTGTTCTTCTTTCGGTTTTGTATTCGTCAGGCATCATTATGATTATCGTAAGTGGTACTACTATTTGAGTCCCGATTTTCCTTTGTCTGTTTTGTCCGTCTTCCATATACATCGCAAACCGGTACCAATTTGCCGCACTAATCCTCCCCGCGCACTACTCTACACCATCCATACAACTAACCTTGTTCTATCCAAATTCTTTTATTCATATGAAATACTTAAATTATTAAGAGATGTGCGTAGTTTAATTCGTTCTTGAAAAATATTCTGCATTCCTATATATTTTTATAAAGAGCGTTATATCCCTGATGTTTCTTAAAGAGCTCAAAGTTCTCTATAGGCATATCGTTTTCACAAATTACACCAACTGCTCTTTTTAAGGTTTTTCATTCGAAGGAAAGTAGATGATTTGCATCTGGTCACTCATATGCAGCGGTAAACTAAGTTTTATATTGCTAAATTGTAGTTTGGTTATTTTAGTAAACACTTCTTTAAGTTTTCGTTTGGTGTGAGAAAGTTCAGATCATCACCGTATGACCAGAGCATCATAATTTGGTTTGATTTACTAAAGATACTTCTCCTATCGTATAAATCAACATCTCCTTACACAACCTGTCCTAACTTCACACTGTTTCAAAGACCTGCAAAAAATTGCGATATATTATGGCTTTGCTGACCAATTTACCCATTGTCGGGAACTAAGTCAAGTCTTATTATTGTATCGGAAATTCACCAAGAAACTCTTCCATGGATGCACTTATAAGATGCAGGAAAATATCTTGTATACTATCTTTAAAAAAGTTAGACTAAAAAAGGTATTGGATCGAATGAAACACTTGATTTGCTAAACTAGTAAATAAAATGAATATAAAAATGGTACTAAAATTTTGTAATGTTTTGTAATGTATATAAAACTACTTATTTATTCTCCAAGGCTATCTGCATTTATCGCAATCCCTAGAAAAAGCAAGAAAATATTATAATATCGATTCATTATCCTGTTATCCTTAATATTTGCCTAAGAATAGTTCATCGCAAAATCAAAGAGAAATGCCAAGAAAGCCTTGAAGATATTGTACCGTTTTTAAATAAAACGAGCGGTTCGAATTTATATAAATATATTTATTTATAACTTTACAGTTCGGTACTATGTTATCAACTAAACTTACTCCTAAGGTCGTTACATATATATACCTAAGTTACTATGTTCTAGAAAGTTCCCACCTCTAATTCGCGCACGTTCTCTTGCCTTCGAGAGATCTGGTGATGATTCTGGAAGCCGTTTCAAGATGCAACCGTTATATGAGTCATGCCGAAAGCATGTTCGTAACACTGCTCCGTCTTAGATCTGAGCGTCCCGATCAGCGACTCTATATGTAGGCCCAGGATGGCGGAATCTACAGGACTCTCCAGCTCTGCATGAACCCCTCAGAAAGAAATAACAGTCTACTGTCTTTGAAGGACACGATCTCTTCGGATTAGTGCAACACACAGTAATTTGTACGCCGGTTTCTCGGAAGATCACTTCAAGCATGCTTCTGACAATCTTCCAATCCAGATTATCTAGTGCATGGCCTATCTTGGGTAAGGCCAAATTCTTAATGTCGTAATTGCAGACGATTTTCTTCAAATTAGTTAGAGCACACCATATATCCTCGTAGGTTGCCCTAGCTGTATACGACTTCCTGGTCACCATATACAGCAAAGATCGAGAACCATCTTCTAATCTCAATACTCTTCCAACTTTAGGCTGCTGGTTTTTTAACTCGTCCAAACGACCGAACTTCTTATAAAATACAGATGAGATTCCTTTAGTCATCTCAAGATCTTGGGCAACACAGTGGGCTAGAGAGACGTTATGCGGAACACTAAAAAGATCCTGCTGAACTTCTGTCGTCACGCCGAATCTAGCACTCTTTCTCTCTGCGTAATTTGACATAAACTCCTTAAAGCTTGGTCGCAGATCATCTTTGATCTTATTTTGAAGGGTTCGGACTTCTTCGGTTTCATTTGAGCCAGCATAAGGTGCAAGACGATTTATGTGAACTACTTTAGGTTTACCTTTCGGCAACTTCTTAATTCGGTATATTACGTCATTTATTCTCTTTTTAATTTCATACGGACCCTCCCATTGTCTTTGCAGTTTAGGAGACAAGCCACGACGACGTTGTGGACTATAAAGCCAAACAAGATCACCTACTTCATAGCTTTCATTCTTGCATCGAGAATCGTATTGATCTTTCATTCTGTCACTGGCTAACTGGATGTGTTGTCGGGCAAGTTCATGAATGTTGTTCATTCTTAACTTTAGGCGGTCGACATAATCTTCACTTGCAACATGTTCTTCAGAAGGTCTGCAGCCAAACTCTAGGTCGCAGGGCAAACGAACTTCACGACCTAACATCAGGCAGGTTGGAGTCTGGCCCGTAGTTTCATTCACGGCCGAGCGGTAGGCCATTAGGAATAAATGAATGTGCTGGTCCCAATCTCTTTGATGTTCTGATACAACTTTGGACAGGTGTTTACCCATCGTTCGGTTCATTCTCTCGACCATTCCATCTGATTGAGGATGAAGGGGTGTCGTTCTGGTCTTATTGACACCAATCAATTTACAAACGTTTTGGAAAAGGTTTGACTCGAAGTTTCGCCCTTGGTCGGAGTGGATCTCCAAGGGAACACCAAATCGGCTAAAGAATTCTTTAACCAGTACCTCTGCAACGGTAGCAGCTTCTTGATTTGGTAGCGCATAGGCCTCAGTCCATTTCGTAAAATAATCCATGGCTACCAGGATATATTTATTTCCATCATTTGTCTCTGGAAGTGGACCTGCAATATCGATTGCTACTCGTTCCATAGGACTACCAACATTGTACTGTTTCATGGGTGCCCTCTTTTTACCAACTGGACCATTACTGGTTGCACACAGTTCACATTTCCGGCACCATCTTCTTACATCATCTTTACAGTTCACCCAATAGAACCGTTCTCGAACCTTTTGCAGAGTCTTCGTAATACCAAAGTGTCCACCTGATGCACCGTCATGCAACTGACGTAATACTTCTGACACTTTACTTTTAGGTACAATCAACTGAAACTTAGTTTCTGTACCATCATCGTTCTCAAAGGTTCTATAAAGAAGATCATCTTTTAGCACTAGGCAATTCCATTGGCTCCAGTAACACTTGACTTCGGGACTACATGCACTAATGTCTTGCCAAGAAGGTCTTTCACTTCGACGCACCCAATCCAATACTCTTTTTATACATGGATCATCTGCTTGAGCGTCTTGTAGCTGTCGAGGCTGCCATTGATCATTAATAACGGTGGTTCGCCTCACGGGGCACAGTTGTTCTTCTAATTCAAGACAATGATTACGATTTGCACTGTATGGCCGTCTTGATTGGACATCAGTATTTGAATGACTTTTTCCAGCCCAGTGCTCGATCTGTTCTAGCTTTGTGACTGTTGTATTATTTTCTTGAACTTTGTGGCGAATGTGACCTTCGTTGTTACCATTCCAACATCTGGGTTCACGTCTCTTCGGCATCATGTTACGAACTACTTTCCGTACGATTTCCTCCAGACGTTTATCGTTTCGTTTGTTACTCTCTTCAGAGGTTCGTACTTGATAGCTCCGTGAAAATCGACTAGCTATCTCATGTTCCAAGGCAATGGCGAGCGCTTCATCTAAAACTTTCGGTCTTGCTAGTCGTAAAGCTTTTTGTAGTTCACTGTCTCTCAACCCATTGACGAAGGTATCTACGGCAATTTCTTAAAAAATGTTGTCTGGTACCTCCGGATAAGCCAACTGCACTATACGAGCAACATCTGCTTCAAACTCTTGCAAATTCTCACTTGCTCGTTGAGTTCTACTTCTTAGTTGCGCGTTGTAGACTTGTTGTAGATGGGCATCTCCGTAACGTTTGTCTAGTCAAGTTAACAAGGTCTGGTAACATTTTTCTTGACCCTTAGGAATCGATCTTAGGATATCTGCAGCATCACCTCGTAAAGCAGCAGTCAAGGAAACAGCCTTTTCTTGTTCTGTCCAATGATTGGCTGTCGCAATAGCTTCAAATTGTCTAAGGTATATGGACCAAGAGGACTTTCCATCAAATAGTGGCAATTTGAATCTCATATGATGTGTCATTTCGTCTCTAGGTGATTCTTCTTTCACTACCGGTTCTAAGGCTACCGTACTAATTGGTGGTAGCATTTTCATCATCATCATTATCATCATCATCATCATCATCATCATTATCATCATTTTTTTTTAGAAGTCTCCTCAATCATTTACGAGACGTTCTCAAATTTACTATCATTTTGTTTCGAAGATTCTTCAATCATTTGTGACGTTTCATCGAATCTTTTGGAAACAGTCTCGAATTTTCCATCAAATATTTTAGTTAAAACGGCTTCTTCTGCTGACTGGAACTGGAATATCTCTGGGTCGTCTCCATTCTTGTTGAGAACAGTCTTCAGTCGTTCTTGGAGTATCTTCTTGGACCCGCTGCAGTCTTCATCGCGTTCTTCTAGTTGCTCACGCAACTGTTTCACTGAAAGTTCTACTAGCAGCATTTTTGATCAGGCACACACGTACTTTTAAAATGTTTAAAATGTTTCGTACAACGAAAGAACAATTACTAATGTAATTAGATAGGAATTCGCCGCCTACTTTTAGAATTGGATATAGCACATTAAGAGGAAAAATTAGATGTGCTAGTGCTACAGTAATTATGAATAGGGATATGTGGTGGAGGGGGTAAATTTGTTACCTAACTTTCCACATTTAAGAAAGGCGTTGTTGAACACCTGATTGCTTCAAAATGTTTACCAAGGACCACTGAAGCAATAAAACACTTATGCGTATTTTTCCTTCGATTTATTTGTAATGAACTTATAGGGCGGATTCAACATTGTAATTATCGCATTATAACTAAACTAAAAAGAGTTGTACAAATATCATTAGCTTTACGTGCTAGGAGGCTAGTAACAAAGATACATCGAGATACAGAAAGAAACAAAACGGTTTACGATTTAACACAAACAACGGTTCTACAGGCGCATTTTTCACTTACGCATCACGCACTTTTGGGGATCGACAACCCCATCACCACTGACCGAGAGGCAAACTCGCACTATGCTTGTCCTAAAACTAAGTCCTTAAGGCGGGGTGAGCAGAGATTATGACGGAGAGAGGGTGACAAACACTTTAACACGTGAGGTGACGCACAAGTTGATACATAAACTACAATTGTAAATACAATGACAATTACAATATTAAATAAGTTGTTTTTACAACAATAGGAATTAAAAATTAATACAGCAGTAAGTAGGAGAAGAAATACGCATTAAATCAAATTTTATTCTACAGATGTCCGAATTCCCAACTAGAATGAAGCAAACAAGCAATTTAAGTAAATCCAGCATGTGAGACATTTTCACCTCAAAGAATTACGTTCGGGTGTAACAATTCATTGTAGCGAGGTGTATTAACTCGACTTGAAAACAGGAGTCACTTAACCGCGCTCCAATGCTCCAGACCATCCCTTTCCCCCTATAGCACTCTGAAGCGCGATAGGGGCACAACTATCAGCCAAATGCTCTTCATGTGAGAGTCCTGGGCAATAGATCTCCAACATGATTCCCTAACCGATTCAAATTCAGGACAGCGTGACGCGCTTTGTTCCTGATATCCTCTTGTGACTTGTCCGGGAATATAAAATTGCTTGCTTGGGTCCAGTCCTGAGACTTGTTGCTCAAGTGTTTTTTGGTAGTGTTTTGGGCCCTACTTGCCCGGATTTTTGGTTTTTTTTTATAAATTTTTTTGGTTGGCTTTCGCCGGATTTTTGTATTTTTTTTGTTGGCTTTTGTTGTTCCCGTTAACAGAGAATTTCATTATCTCTCCTATTGCCGACAAGAATGTAGTGTCGACTAATTTTTAAATAATTTTAAACCGTTTGTCCTTGTTTAGTGTAGTGTTATGTACAATTTATGTTTAATTTCATGTTTATTACATTCTACGCTTGTTGGATAGCCCAAATTTGACGGAATGACCCTGATGATGCTTTAGAAAGCAAGATTTGATTAATAAAATTGTGCTCGATATCTGTCTTTAATTTTTCAATCTTCTCATTTTGTTGAACTTTGCTCTAGCCTTTTCTATTCTTATTTTTAACCCCCGAATGTAATCATTTGTGGAGTTAATCATTGTTCCCAGATATGCATATTTGTCCACTTGTTCGACGTTGGTCCCGTTTATTAGAAGATTCTCATTATTTCTTTGAGTTTTCGATATTCTTATAAATTTCATCTTCTTAATATTCATTGTTAGACCATACTCTTTTCCATACTCTGCTATTCTGGTTACCAGTCTCTGAAGATCTTCATTGTTTTCGGCTAAGATCACAGTGTCGTCCGCATATCTAATTCTGTTAATGGGAACTCCCATTTACCTTTATTCCAGCTGTTTTAACGCCCAAGAGCGTTTTTCAGGATCTCTTCGGAGTAGGCGTGAAAAAGAATTGGCGACAATAAGTATCCCTGTCTCACTCCACATCTAATTTCAATTTATTCTGACAGCTGTTCATTAACACGTACTTTAGCTCGCTGTTTATAGTATAAATTTAATATGATCCTGAGGTCGCTGTAGTCAATTTTCTTTAATTTCAGGACATTCATTAATTGTTCATGTCGTACTTTATCGAATGTTTTATTATAGCAAATAAAACATACGTATATATCTTGATTGGCGTCCAGACATCTTTGTATCAGTATATTAAGTAAAAAAAGAGCTTCACGCGTTCCTAGGCTTTTGCAATAACCAAATTGTTTGTCATTATCGTCTATATCCAGTTTGTGATATATTCGGTTATGGATGACTTTTAGTAGTAACTTTTACACATGAGACATCAAGCTAATGGTGTGGTAATCGCTACATTCCCTTGCGTTTTTCTTTTTGGGGAGACAAATAAAAATTTACATTAACCACTATTTGGGTAATAGGCTTGAACTATAAATTTGGTTCAAGAGTGTCACTAAAACATCAATGTACTTCTCATCTAGAATTTTTATAATTTCTATAGGAAGCATGTCAGGTCCAGGGCTTTTCCCACTCTTAATTGTTTTTAATGCATGTAATATTTCTTCTTTTGTAATATATTGACCTATTTCTTCTGACGTAAGTTCTATGTACTCCAGATCTCATCTTTCATCATCGAATAGTTCGTCGATTATATTCTTTTCGTAGATTTTTCCATTAGATATGCAAGAATGACTTCTTCATTTATATTATGTAGATACATTTTTATCATTGCTCAATTTTTGAAATAAATTGTAGACCAATTCATACCTCTTTCTTGATTTTATGACAATAATTCATAAATAGCAACTTTACAGTCTCCCCAATCTCATCTGAAATCATTTCGGCTTCACTTTAACTGCTGATTTCATTTCTTGGAATTAAAAACCAAAAACTGAGCGAAAACACATGAATCTTAAATGACAAACGTTATAATAAAATACAGAGTTGATGTTATTGTCAAAGCCGTTATACCTAGCTACCCAAAATCGTCCTGAAAGTGAAAAAATTAGTTCCGAAAGTAGCTACTTTCGGTACAAGTTGTGTAAAATGGTACTTTCGATTTAATAAATGATACCGAAAGTTTTATTTTCGGGACGGCTGCAGAAAAATGTATTTTTTTAATCCAAAACACGTAAAATCCACAGGTAATGAAGTAAATTCCATCACAGGAATTGTGTCTTAAAATAATTTTGTGTTGATTTAATAAACTGTTCACCATTGCCAGATTATGGCGTAGAACAACAACTAAAACTTCGTAATCAACATACTAAGACCAATCATCTATATATAATTTGCATATCTTAATTTAAAACATGTTTTAAAATATTATCTTTAGACATTCAAATCAGAAATTTGTTTATTCATATTATTGACAATAAATACAACTTTATTATACTATATAAAACGTTTTTCATGGATGTTCTTGAAGGTATCAACCAATGTTTCATTTTAATTTATATATTTTGTACTGTTTTCATATTGCTGTTTCTTTTATTTCTTGAGAAAAACATCATATTGGCCAAAAACAGATATACATTATATACATATAATATATATATATATATATATATATATATATATAAATATATATATATATATACGAAATAAATGGTTTTATTCCTTTTTCAAGACACTGTAATAAGACAAATATGTAATATTTAACATAATATCACAATTCTTCAGTGTAACTTACTAGTCGTTGAGATTATTTATAAAAGTATTGCCACCCAACATTAATAACACACATTAAAATATACAATCATGGACAAAATACATTCTAAAATTTCTAAAATTTAGGGTAAAGATAGTAAAACTTAGTGTATGGCTTGTTTTACTGGTGTGTTTTAACTCATATATTTAACTCATAATAAGTAACTGTAGCATAATTTGGTATATGGAATAATAAATGTCTACCCTTCAGACAACTATCTCTCAGATAGGGTCCTATTTATCTGGAGATCAAAAGACAGGCCCTAAATTAAACACTTAAAACATGTATTGCTTATTTTGAAACATAAAATTTTTTTGTCTTTATTTCTAGAGGCTGACCTATGTTGTTTTTATACTATTGGCCGTAGCTCAAAAGATAAAAGGGGCAATAGAATCCCCCTGTCCAAAAATATTTGTTTTTGAGCCAGACAAATCACTTGATGATAGATGGTATGGACTGATTTCGTTAAGCACGAAAAGGGATATAAAAAGTATTACCTTAGAATTGGAATTTGACAAATCGATTATACAATTAGGGGTAAGTAGATCAAAGTAGCATATATTTTATATATATATATATTATATATAAATATATATATATATATATATATTCAATGATTACAATAATGATGGACCAAAGGTATCTCTTCTATAAACGTTTTATAAACACAATCATAAATATATCAGAATGATATTAACTCCTGAAATTTTCCTTGTATTTCTGCTATTGTAACACCATTTAAAAAGTACAAAGTACAAGTACAAGTACAAATATAACATCATAATAGTGACGGAGATTTTCTAAAATAAAATAGCATTGTTCCGAAAATGTTTGTGATTTACCTAAAATTTTTAAACATATCACTTTATTTCCTTTATTTCAATTTTTGTCTTAAATTTTATAGTCATCTTAATCAACAAATGATATAAGTATTTTGCAGGTTGTGAATCATTTTAGTTAGGATTAACAGGTTTGTGTTTGTACTACTTGTGAATTTGTGTAGTAAAAATCTTGCAAACGTCTAATTTTACTCCTGTGAAATTAAAGTGTGATTTAACGGTTCCAATGAAAACTTGTTAGTGTATAATGTATGTACCGGGTGGTCCAATAAGCCGATCTCTCGGCTATATACCAGAAAACTATTCATGTTATAACTTTAGGAGAAAAAATTCCTTAGTAAAAGTGGCCAAGAGAAATCGCTGGAAATAACTTTCAAGATTCTGGATTAATTGCTAGGAGGCGTAAACGTGCGAAGAAAAATTTTGAAAACCAGTTTTTTGGGAAATATGTCTAATTATACCAAGTGTTAAATAAGTAAACTAGAAAGGGGCATAAATTCAGCACAAAGTTGTTCAAGTACTTTTTTTTTAATTTTTTCAAATAAAGGGTGGGGGGAGAGTGGGAAAGTATTTGTGGATAAATACCTGTAACTTGGTTTGAATCAACGGATTTTAATGAAATTAGTGTCATTAGAAAGAGTGTAGATGCATTAATTCACATCCATTATAAAATACTTGCATTTAGTTTTCATAGTCGTAGGTAGAGGGGACTTTCAAATAAAAAAAATTAAAATTTGTTTTTCTTCAAAATTTTTAATGGAAACACCTATTAATTGTAAATTATAATGAAACTGGATTAAATTCGTAACAAAATGGAGCAACCGAATGTTAATAGCTTTGTTGAAATCGAGATATGAATAAAAACTCATAAACATAAGTAAGTATAGTATTGACTCACCCTGTATTATAAATTACATTCAAAAATAAGTCAGTAGGTATTTTCAATTTTATTTTTATAGCAGAAGAATCTTAATGTTGATACCTATTTTGTAAAAAAATAGTTTTTTCGAAACTAAGTAGGCTACGACAATGAATTTGACGGGGAGTTCATATTGTTTATTTATTGACAGCAGTCAAAACATTGTTAAGAAGTGCTATATTGTAATTCGAATTAAAGATTGCACTTTTTCAATAGATATTAATATTGGTAATATTAGTAATTAATTATCAGTACAAATAATTCGTGATGAGTATATCAAATTGTATGATATGATTGGAGTTTATTTCGAATTTCACCAAAATGCCGCTATTGCCTCACGTATATATTTTGTAAGATATCCTAACATGAGACATTATGGCAAAGAAGTGTTTAAAAGAAAGGCAAAAAGATTAAGAGAAACTGGTAGTTTTTCTCATCCTTCTTTTTAAACGACGTAGTAGAGTTATGACCAAAGATAATTCAATAAATGTTCTTGCTTTAATTCAACAGAATCCACATATCAAGTAGTCCGAAATCTCTACTTCTTTGCCACAATATCTTCTGCCAGGATATCTTACAGAATATATACGTGAGGCAATAAAGCCATTTTGGTGATATTCCGAAATAAACTCCAATCATATCATACAATTTGATATACTCATCACGAATTATTAGTACTGATAATTAATTACTAATATTACCAATATTAATATCTATTGAAAAAAAATGCAATTTTCAATTCAAATTATAATACATATAACACTTCTTAATAATATTTTGACTGCAGTCAATAAATAAACAATATGAACTCCCTGTCAAATTCATTGTCATAGCCTACTGAGTTTTGAAAAAACAATTTTTAATCATATGAAATAACAATGGTCAAAATAGGTATCAACATTAAGAGTTTTCTGCTATAAAAAATTTTGAAAGTACCTACTGACTTATTTTTTAATTTATTTTATAATACAGGGTGTGTCAATTCTATACTTACTTATGTTTATGCGTTTTTATTCATATCTCGAGTTCGATAAAAGCTATTAACATGCGGTTTGCGCCATTTTGTTACGAATTTAATCCAGTTCCATTATAATTTACACTAAATAGGTGTTTCTATTAAAAATTTTGAAGAAAAACAAATTTTAATTTTTTCTATTCGAAAGTACCCTCTACCCATGACAATTAAACTAAATGCAATTATTTTATAGTAGATGTAAATTAATTCATCCCTACTCTTTCTAATGACACTAATTTTGTTAAAATCGGTTGATCCAAACCAAAGTTATAGGTATTTTATCCACAAATACTTTCCCACTCTCCCCCACCATTTATTTGAAAAAATAAAAAAAAGTACTTGAACAACTTTGTGCAGAATGTACGCCTCTTTCTAGTTTACTTATTTAACACTTGGTATAATTGGACATATTTCCCAAAGAACTGGTTTTCAAAATTTTCTTGGCAGGTTACGCCCCCAAGCGGTTAATCCAGAATCTTGAAAGTTATTTCCAGCGATTTCTCTTGGCCACTTTTACGAAGGAATTTTTTCTCCTAAAGTTATAACATGAATAGTTTCTGATATATAGCCGAGAGATCGGCTTATTGGACCACCCGGTACATGATACATCAACATTTTACAAGCACTGTTCGAAGTATAGTTTACAAGTATTCAGATATGACCGGAGTTTTTGGGCTTGTATTTTTGCCGCAATTACTGGTTTTCCATACATCCTCATTATTTGTTTACTCGTTCGTCTTCTCCAGATCTCTACTTTCTTTTTTCCTGCTGCTTCATAACCCAACGTTTCACTGGCTTACATCACTGTGGGTCTGATAACTGTCTCGTAGACCCGCAGTTAAGCTATCCTTGACACATTTTTTGCTTTCAGTAATGAATTTAGTGACCCTATCGCTCTGCTTCCCTTCATTATTTTTTTCTATCTCTTTTTCTTCTTTTCCTGTGTTCGTTATGGTTACTCTCAAGTATTCAAATTCTTATACTTTTTCAAAACTATATACAGTCTCTGCTCCTTTCATTTTGATATATCTGTTATTATTTGTTATGTCTCCTTTCATTTCTATATATTGCGTTTTTGTTTGGTTTATTATTAATCCGTATCTTTTCGCCTTTTCTTAAAATTTTTGAAAACTTTTTCTAAATGTTTTTTTCTTCTCGCTAGTATCACCACATCATCCGCGAACGCTATGCACTGTTCCCTGCTATTGAAAATAGTTCTGTTTGTGCTCATATTTGATCTTCTTACGATTTGTTCTAATACTAGGTTAAATAAATTTGTTGATAGCGGATCCCCTTGTTTTAAACTTGTTTTAAACCTCTATTCACTGTGAACTGTCTTGAAAAGCTTTCTTTCATTGTTACTCTATTCACCGTGTTCCAAAGCGTCATTCTCACTAGCCTTATAAGCTTTTCTGGTATTTCTAATGTTCTCATGGCCTCATATAGCATCGTTCGATTCAGGGAGTCATATTCTTGTTTAAAATCGATAAATGGCATATGTAATACTAAGTTTTGTTCGTAGCTATTATTTTGTATTAATTTTAACATACTTATTTGATCAGTAGTTGTTCTTTCTGATTATCACATAGCAAGTATATTAAATGTAAGAAATGGATTAGTAAAAATGAAATTTAAATATATTTCAGACAAATCTGAAATAATCATAATAAAAAAAGAATTTATAGATGCATTTAAACAAAACTATTCAGAAACATTATTAAATGTTCAATATTGAATTACCAAAAATTAATAAAAATGATAAAATTAAAGATAATCATTTAAACAATGAAGAAAAACATGTCTTCTTAAGTTAATTACATAACACAAAAGTATTTTTTTATAAAAAAAGATAAACCGTTTACACATAAAATTAAACATGAAATAAAGACTACTCTTGAAGCCCCAATATAATACAATACAGATATCGATACGAACACAAAAATAGTGAAAAATCAAATAAACCAAATATTACAAGATGGAATAATATAAGAAATTTATACTCACATTGGAGTTCGCCGAATTGGATAGTTCCAAAAAATTAGATGTAAGTGGAAAACAAAAATGAATTTTTAAGGTTGCCTTTTGGACTGAAAGGATCTCCCTTGACCTTTCAAAGAGTTATGGCTTCGATTTTTAATAATTAAATTTGAAAACTTAGTCTCGTATACATGGATGATATAATAATTTATTCAACATCAATACAAGATTATATAAATAATTTAAAACTTGTTTCTCAAAGACTAGAAGACGTAGAATTAAACTACAATTAGATAAATCAGAATTTTTATGTAAAAGTGTAGAATTTTTAAATCAAGTATTAACACCTGATGGAATTAAACGAAACCCAAAGAAAATATTAGCAATACAATTTCCTATACTTACCAACAACACAATAATAGATAAAATCATTAAAGAAGGGAAACCGAGCAAAACGTACTCCAGAATTTATTCTCTCATTTGAAATATGTAAGAATATATTGATGAATGACCCAATATTACAATATTCAGATTTAGAAACTCTTTAACGTAACAACAGACGCTTCAAATTTTGCTATGGACGCAGTGTTGTCACAAGGACCAATTGGAAGCCATTTACCAATTGAATATATGCCTTGAGAACATTAAATCAATCTAAAACTCATTACAACACAATTGAAAAAGAGTTATTATACTATCTATTATGTATGTAGTTAAATACTTTAAACCTTATTTATTCGGACAAAAATTTAATATAACATCTAATCACAAACCATTTCAATGGTTT